TAACGGGCTGAACGCCCTTTGGATAGCTCCTCGATGGAATCTCGGTCAAGCAGCAGACGCCAGGTCTTACTCTGCAACCCGGCATCTGTGCGAGGCCTGAGCGGCGCCCAGACGACGCGCTCAGACACTCGGTGCAACCTTTCTCCGACAAGTAAATAAACACCACGCAAGTAGACTCTATAGCTCTCTATCGAATACAACCTCTTGTATACCTCGCGATTGCTCCCCAGAGCGCAGCCCCTTACAGTTAAGTTCAACTCTCTTACTATTACTTTTACTTTTAGTAATTTTCGTTACTACACTTACTATATACAAATAATATATATTTCAAAACTCAAAAGCTAGTTTAAATAAGAGTAGTTAAAGCTCTTGATGGCTTTATATTATGTTTTTAGTACCTTGAAGAATATCTATAATTTAGTATAAACTACTTAAGCTAGCTATACTACTTTTACTACTAAGTAGCTTACTTATAGTGTAGTGGAGCAACTAGGAGGTATATCCTGGTAGCTGAAAGGTAGTTAGACAGCGCTAGGAGACGGATATAAAACTAGGGAGTGGAGGAAATAGTACAGAGACAGACAACATCAACACAAAAAAATATATAATTATATTCTCTCAATACCTATTAGAATATAGGCCTTTATACTATAGTAGTAGTTAGAATAACTATTAGACTACTCGTAATAGAACCTGTATAGCCACAGAGCACCTACGCAGCTGGAGGTGAATAACGCTCCACGACGATAATACTTTTACTTTTAGTACTTCTTTTCCTAGAAGTTCTTTAAGCGCTTTTTTTACTAGCTTATCAAGTGCTCTTACTACTAGCCTTTTAACTATTAGCCTTTTAACTACTGTTTAGCGTAACTTATATTTTTATAAGCATCTTTAGCTAATTACCTATTTGAAAAAGAACAAAAATTGAACTGACGTGGTTCACAAGTGAGTCGCTAACCCGAGCGAGTCGCTAACGCCCCACCAGCCCATTAACTTCATCACTATAACGCGTGATGTCTCAACAACGCAACTGTCTATTAATATATTCTAAATCTAATCTTTAACTTGCTCTTTTTAACGTCTAGTCGCAACGTGTTTAGAGTGTAAACTATGCTACTACTATCTACAACGTCCTACAAAGAACTCTATCTGATCAACGCGCTAGAAAGCGCCCTTGACGCGACTGCGAGCCGAAATCGAAGCGTCTAGATAAGCTAGAAGAGGAGGCTATAGTTGAGCGTATTCTTGAAGAGTCTGCGCGAGGATTTGCGCCTACAAAGCTTGACGTTTGAGTAATGGCTAATAAACTATTAGAGGAGCGTGGTGGCAACCCTGTTGGCAAGAACTAGGTTGACAACTTCGTTAAGCGGACTCCTGAGCTCCGTACGCGCTGGAGCCGTCCCTATAATCACCAGCGAGCCGCCTGCGAGGATCCAGTGGCTATCCAGCGCTGGTTCGACTTAGTCCAGGCGACAAGGCAGAAGTGGGGTATTGTGGACGACGATATCCACAACTTTGACGAGACTGGCTTTATAATAGGCAAGATTTTATTATAGTTAGTTATTACAGCATTAAAAGAATATAGGAAAAAAAAGCAGATACAGCTAGGCATCCGTAAGTGGGTTACTATAATCCTAGGCGTGGGCGCGTTAGGTCGCCAAATACCACCCTTCGTTGTCTTTGCGGGCAAGGTGCTTATTAACGTCTAGTTTAAGGATTTGCTTGCCAACTAGGTTCTTAAAGTCAGTCCCAATAGCTAGACGAATAATTAGCTTAGTCTTGCCTGGTTAGAGCACTTTGATACCTATACAAAGAGCTCTACTGTGGGTGGGTATCGACTGCTCATTATCGATGGCCATAAGAGCCACTGCTCTGTTGATTTCCAAGATCTTTGCAAGGAGAAGAATATTGTGCTTCTCTGCATGCCTGCGCACTTGTCTCACCTGTTGCAGCCCCTTGACGTCGCCTGCTTCTCGCCGTTGAAGCGCAAGTATGGCGACGCTATTTCAGGCTTAGCACGCAACCGCACCCACTATATCAGCAAAGAGACCTTCCTACCAGCCTTTAAGACTGCTTTTGAGCAGTCTATCACGAAGGAGAATATCCAAGCTAGCTTTAGAGGCGCTGGTCTAGTCCCACACGACCCACAGGCTGTGCTATCTAAGCTTGATGTGGTGGTGCAGACACCTGTACAATCACCGCAACAGGTAGCCGCCTGGCAGGCGCAGACACCACGCAACGCGCGCGAAGTTAAGTCTCAAATTGGTCTCATTCAAAAGAGCGTGAGAAAACGCCGTGGGTCTTCTGCCAATTCACTTACTAAGCAGATCGCGCAGCTAAGTAAGGGGGCCTAGCAAATAGCACATAAAATAACGCTTATGATGGAGGAAATGGGTACGCTTTGAGCGGCTCTTAATAAGTTAAATAAGCGTAAAAGCCGCAAGCGGCGATACGTACGGACAGAAGAGACTCTTACTATCGGCAAAGTACAAGAAGTATTAGCTAAACAGGCGGGTAGCAGTCGTGGTGATGGTGAGAGTGCGTCAAAGAGGGTGCGAGGAGAGCGGCGGTGCGGGCGTTGCAAGCAGACTGGACACAACGCTCGTACCTGCGTAGTTAAGATAGATAGTGCAAGTGATAGTAGCAATTCTAACAATTAATTTAGTGTATCGCAATAGTTTATTGACTGTGATAAAAAACTGTGATAACGTGTTGATGTAGATGTAGTGGTGGGGCGTTAGCGACTCGCTTGGGTTAATACACAGGGAGGAACTTTACGCACGAACTTTTTTCTCGATTTCGCCCTGGGCGTTGAGATCTTCTTCTCGTGCGCTTGAGACCGATCACGTTTGCCTTTCCACAGCCACCTTATCTCCCCTGCACCTGTTCCACGAGTCCTCCCACTTCTTTATTTTCGTAAAATGTGGGGTCTAAGAGTAATTACTTGGTTTAGGCGGCGACGCCGGCTATATATCACGCTATTCTATTTTGATAAGGTAGCCACCATCAAGGAGAGAAACCCAACGCCGCTCATGCTTGTGCTCTCCATTCAGCAGGAGCTACTGGCGAGACGTTTGCCTTGAACTCTCGAGCCAGCGAACGATGTTTGCGTATACCAGGTCGACGTAGTATTGTCAACAGACACGTTGCTCCAGTCCTGCCGTAGTTTTAGAAAGACTCGACCGGTAAGGAAGTGGCATGTGCGCTAGGCAGCCTGCATGCACCTGGAGGATTTCATGAAATTACGGTTGCCTTCTTTTTTGCTTGGCCGCCTTATTGCCTAGAGGGCGGACCCCAAAGCTGCTTGTTCATTATTTAGAGCCAAAAAGTTCCAGTGATGGCAGGGCACACGTGATATTTCTGTAGCGATATCAACCAAGCATTTCATCCATACTTTGCTAATTCTTGCCTCAACCAAGAAAAACTCGCCTTTGTCTGTAGTCGACAACATCATACCCGGCCTCAACCACGCCCTCTCTACCACTTTCTTGTCAACTCCTTTCTGGCCTTTACTGGCTTTGTCCAATCTGAAAATTTCCGACGCACGTTTACCTCAAGTGTGCCCACACGCTGCACAAACCCGCTATATACTCGCCAAATCAGCAGGCAAAGATATCAGTCTGGCCAGCGCATCTGGACATCTAGTCGCAAGATGGAAAGTGGCGGTTCTTTAAAAATTTCGAGATGCCCTCAGGAGCAGGGAAATGAGGAAAACAGCACTGCATGCAACCATATCGAAAATCTCGAACTAGACAGTGCCGAGAGTTCAGCCCAAGATTCCCGTCCTTTCAGTCACAAACGGGCGGATAAAGAGGGCCGCTCTGAAGAGAGCAAAAAAGCCTCTTCCCAGGTTCTTGCTAGTAACTTGGATGATACTCTTGGTTCCCTTATACCGGTATACTCTCAGCCAATTTTGAAGAAGACGCTTATATCGAAAGCATATTTAACCTACATGGAGCTTGCTGCGCTAGAAGAAAAGTGCCAAAGTGTTGAACACACCCAAGCGGCGGCTGTGAAAGATCCAACGCCACCTTATGACTATTGGGAAACACTGATGATTTCACGTCGTCGGCTGCTTCTTGAGCATCTCCATTTTTTCCTTATCACTCACCATCCGTCTGCTCCACCACAACTTCGTAATCTGGCGGCTAACCATTCCATGCCGGCGCGTATGTTGCAACATGGTATTCATTCATTCTTGGAGTCACTTCAAACGCGTGAACCATACAATAAGAAACATATGTTGGAGTTTATGCATTGGGCCTACCTAATAGTGGCCTTGCTCTGTAAGACCGTTCCGGCTTTCGAAGATACGTGGATAGAGTGTCTCGGTGATCTAGGCAGATACCGTATGGCTATCGAGGACGAGGATATGCGCGATCGCGATACCTGGGCTGGTGTTGCACGATCCTGGTATACGAAGGCAGCGGACAAAAACCCGATGACTGGACGGCTCTATCACCACCTCGCCATCCTTGCGAGACCGAATGCTCTCCAGCAGATGTACTATTACTCCCGGTCGCTGACTTGCGTCAAGCCGTTTGGAAGCGCACGCGAGTCAATCATGACGCTTTTGAACCCGATTCTTGGATGCAGCAAGGCCAGCTTCACGCAAGCCCTTCCGATTGACGCGTGTTTCATCAAAGCACATGGCCTGCAGTTTGTGGGCGATTCGGTTAAGGAGGAGCAGACAACAGAAGAATTTTTGAGCGCAAAAGCCGAGTTCCTGGAGAGCCTTAGCGATCATATTGGTCGGGTTACGGCAAAGTGGAAGGACCAGGGCGTTTGGATCGCCGTTACTAATATCGCAGGTTGGTTCGATTTCGGTGTTGACGACAACGCACTACGTCAAGCTTTCCTCATTGAGCTCTCTGAGAAGGCCAAAGAGTCTGTCTCAGTCGCTCCTAAAACATCAGCGATCGATCAACCAGATCCTCTTCAGCCTTCTGCTACTCCGGACGAAATTAGTGGGAAGCTTGCGCAACTTACTAAGCGACTCATCTTTAAGAACGCCCGGCTTCTCTTCAACGATACATTCGCTCTTGCATTGCGCCGAGTAGGCGACAAGAACGTGCTTTCTCACGTCAACACCAAGCTTGCTTTTATTGTATCGCTTATTTCCAATCGATACATTTCTATTTGCTTCGACGATATTCCTTGGACCGAAGTCATCGCCTTTCTCAATACGTTACTGGAAACAGAAACCCAGATCCATCAGCCATCGCCCACCAACTTACTCGCTGAGAATCTGTTTCCAGCCGGCGATGAAAGGCCAGACGAGCTGCCACTTCCAGAAGACTACCTTTCTCGAGGCCTGATCTGGACCCATGGCTTCTTCCCCAAGAATTGGTTCGATAGAGAGCGCGACGAGGAAGAACGATATATCGAACACGCAAGTACTGCCAGGAACCGGACCAACAGAATCCTGAGGCTCGGATACGCACTTGCAAAAGTAAGCCCGATGTCTTCTCTCTCTATCTCATCTTTTCTAACCGAAATCCAGCATGACCGATGGATCTCGTATGACGACCCCACACACACATTCAGGGTCAGCAGCAAAGCATCCTAATGCCAAGGACACTTTTTTTTCTGTATTTTATCTGGACGGCTTTCCCCCGCAACCTTGGATAGTTCATCTCTTCTCATTTCATTTGGTGTCTTTATTTCTTGGAATTAGAGCATGGGATAGAAACTATGAAAGGGATTTCAATAAACTAGATCGACTTTTATCGTTGTTAGACACTGGGCAACGTGTTGATGAGATTAGCCTAACTACTACTATACAGCATTGGAACATACATCTCGTGAAAGTGTCCTCTAACATGACAACATTAAACTGGAGGCCAATAGTTAGGTTACTAAGAACGTTACTTACCAAATCCCTTTTCTCGAATAAAAAAAATGTATGTCTATGTAAAAATGAAGCAAATACTGGCATGAGTGTAGTCTGGGCGACTACACAAAGCCCTGGGTTATTCCAGGTGTGCCTGCACGCTCTCCATATCCATGATACGATCGCAGCGAAAGGTCAAAGCCCCTTCCTATCCACAACCGCTGCACCCGCTCTGAAAAACCTGCCCTCGTCCCTGCCACGCTTTGAACATGGATCATCTGCCCGCTGTTGTGTATATCAGTCATGCGCCGATTTGCCGTATCATGACCATGCCCATCATCACGCAGCTGGCTACTGACTTGTTCTCTTCACCTTCACCATCATCGCTACCGGTTCGCTTCTTCATAACCGCACACTGTCCTTGTCGAGTGTATACGTCTTGCAACGCTCCACCGTATTCTTTAATGCATTCACTAAAGCGCATCCGGTTCCGGTTCTATGGCGCTGCAACTTCTTCGTCCTCGAACAAACTGATCCCAATCAGACTCTCCAGGTTGGTTGAATTCTCCTTCCAGTCGCTTCTTTCTTGTCGCCCCTGTCATTTGCTACCTTGTTTCCTCTTACAAGTCAGATTTCCTGGAAAACTTAGCTGGAAACGCTAACGTTATATCCCCACGACAGGTGATGGAGCCGCATAAGCACGTCGAGATCGAATGGATCCAATGGGGGGAGCTATGGGCGATGATCTTGGCAGACATGGAGGCTGATCAACAGGAGAAGCATTTCTTTCCCTCCATGAAGAACATGGTTGTGAAATACTCTAAGCGCAACGATCCTTCTTGCTTGGACAAAAGGCTGGCTTAATCAGTTACATGGTTGATTAGTCTCACTATATCATAGCCTATCGTCCATCTCATCTCGACAGTTATTTCACAAAGAACCAGCCTCTGTTCCTCTTTATGGCCGGCGCCCTTAGTTCGAAAAGGGCTTCTCCCCTTGGGCTTCGAACAAACCCGTATTCTTTACTCTTCATGATAGAAAACAGTTGCAACATAACTAGATAGTGCAGATAACCTGGACGTATCTTATTTATCAGTTCAATTGCGTTAGTAATGAAAAGTTGAAAGTGAGGAGTAAGAGTGATCATTGGAGTTCTATGGGAGGTGACTATCTATAGTTTGCTAACGCTTACGTCATTGTTGTTTGTTACAACCAGCACCTTCTCACAGGTAATAACTGGCGTTGGCAATGGTTGAGAGAGGGCGGGGTTATCCTGGCCCAAAGCTCCCTAACGGCGCTATGTGCATCAGCCCTAGGACAGAAAAGTTGGCATTCGAAAGAACCCCTAGCTAAGGTTAGAGCGCATCGGAGCTGTGAGGCCTGCAGATCTTAATGCAGTTTAGCTTATGCAACAGCGCGGATGAGATCAGAGATTTTCCCTAACGCGCAGCTACTATTGCGCTGCCATGACGACATTAGATTTCTATTGGATCAGCTACTCGGCAGCTATTCAAACAACCTCACACAGCTCCGACGAGCTGCTACAGTATTATGAATGTCGAACCAGTTGGCACGCGTCTCACACTGATGACTAACCCGATGGATTGACACCTTTCGCACTTAAACTTTTACTTTTGACATAAGTCATCTTGTTACGAACTACTCGATGCCATTTAAGGATGGTGCGCAATACTGGGTTTTTGCGGCTCTAGAAGCTAGTCTAGTGACAGGCAGCACATAGAATACAGCTACGGTCAATCCTCGGCCATTCGAAGTACAGTGCCCTCTCTGGCTCGAAAGTACAAAGAATCATTAACTTGAGTGTTAATTAGCAACCTGTTGAGTAAGCGGACTAAAGCATAAGTACTCTCAGATTGAGGCATAACCCTGACGCTGATGCTGACGGTGATTATAAGTATACGCTTTACTAAATGGTATTCTACTCTATCTTACATACATACCATGACTATCAGTATAAACTTTGCGTAACGTCGCGATCAGAATTAATGTTCAGTTGCGCTATTTGATTGGCTTCTCCGCGAAGGCCTAACTTGTGCTCAAAGGTGTTCTCTTATTTATGACTATTGGTTTACTGTAAGAATTTCATTGCTATGAGGAACTCAACCTAAAACCTAGTTAAAATATTGCTCCCTAACTCAGATACAGTCGTTAACGATTGCGGCTTCGCCCTTACACACAGCTGCGCAACGGATTTGAGCAGGCCCACCTTATGTAGCTTAGTACAGGAAGTCAGCAGCAGAATCATCGTGTGATTAATCAATCCTTGATCTTCTGATGACTGGACTTTTGGAACGCTGCCAACAGGGGTGAAGCTGCAATCGCTAGAGGCTGTACATAAGGCGAGGCCACAATTATTGTCCACACTGCACTAATGTTAGCTACGTGGTACAATCATCTTGTCATAACCGCCAGACATCAGTCAGCAGCGTATTGTCGGCCATGACTTAAAAGGATGTTATTTAACTCTCAATAAATGTGATCAATCTGTATTGGGGCACACTTGAGGTCTCTTAAACCCTTGACATCAATTCAACGCGTAGCACGTAGCCGCGCTTGCCGTGTAACACCATATCTTCTCGTCTTCTCCAGCTTCTCATACACAGCGAGTTCAAGTCGACAATCGACTTTTCGATGTTTTGCTGTGCAGAAGTCATTTAAAATCTGCCATGTACAAATGGCTCCAACCTTCGAAGAGTGGGTTTAATCTCCCATGCCACCCCGATTTAGCTAAAACTCAGCAGCTTTATCCAATCACCTCAGTTTACCTTCTTTGTTGGTAAGGAGAGAAAGCCAATCGTAGTACATGCGGCTGCGATTGCTGCTACTAGTCAGCATCTAGATGCACTTGTCAACGGCGGAATGCAGGAATCGGAGACGCGATGTGCGAGGATGAAAGATGTCAGTGTTGACGATTTCATCCGTTTCTGCGAGTACGCTTACCGTGGCGACTATACGATACCTCGATGGGAAGAACTCCTGCCGGAACCAAGCTCTCAAAATAACAAAAACGATGACTTAGCAGACGATAATAGCCCCAAGAATCTGATCCTACAAAACTGCGAATCCCCACGCAATCGTGCTGCAAACCACAATTGCGCGCCAGTCCTTCTCGCTCATGCACGACTTTACTGCTTTGCACATCTACGTCTGATAATGTCGCTTAAATCGCTAACCCTCCAAAAGCTGCAGAAGACGCTCATGAGCTTTGATTTGCACAAAAATGGGGTTGGAGATATCATTGAGCTCGCGAGATATACGTACTCGAACCCAGATCTACCAGATAGAAGCGGCGACGAAACTACCGATGACCTGAGGAAACTCGTGGTCGAGTATATTGTGTGCGAGATTGACACTATTGGCAAGTGTGATGACTTTATCAAGTATATGGAAGAGGGTGGTGAATTCGCGGGGGATTTCTGGAGAATAGCAAGGAACCAGATGGCTTGACGTAGGTGCAGGTTAGTGTCTTTTTAAGGAAAGAGATCTCAGATATCGGGGTATAGCCACAGCCTACGACTTACGCAGGATCATGCTAAATATCTATGTAGCTTTGGCCGATTGAATTGTCCAATGTGTTCAATGCAGCCGAGATAGTTACTGGACTAGTTATGTTATTAAGTTGTAACATTCATGAGGATATATATCATAGCCATGGTGTTTGTTGGCTTGACATGTGCACTTTCACCAGCTTAGATAGAGCTAGGGTTAGTTACATACGACAGTACATCATCAAAAAACACCCAAAGCATACTGAATGATATAATTATCTCTTTATACCTTCACTACGGAGTAGTTTAATGCATCTCGTGCTGCCCGAAGTGTCGTCTTCATCTCCGAGTACAGATTACAATTTGCAACTCTCCATCTCTCGCCACCAGGAAATACCTTCTTCCGTAATTCGTTGACGTGAAAAGCGAGTGGTTTGTAGTAAGTCGTAAAACTAGCCTCAACAGTCTTCAGAAAATCACTCTCGTCAGAAATCAGACCTTTTTTGAGCTCCGCTAGTTTTTTACTGCTCTCGTAATTCCAACATTCGAACTCAGTTGGCCCGATGTCTTTGCCAGGCCCATCATAGTGAACACACACCCAGAATAGGACCCAGAAGAATGATTCAAGGTCGTGCATGAACGAGTGTTGTTCGTCTAAGAGCAATCCTATGGCCATGAACGGTCGCGTGCCGGTCTTCGCGCATGCCCCTGAAGACATCTCCCGCCGTTCCTTGATCGCAAGGTCGAGATCGACCAAGAACGCGCGCCACGACGACGGGTTCCCGGCATCCTCGTTCACCATGAGGTTGTTTGGTGATATGTCGCGTTGGAGTATACCGCCTTGTGTGTGTAATGACTCATATCCGTGAATGCATTGCTCTAATGCAGTAAGCAGCATGGCTGGGGAGCTTGATTTGTAGATGGCCTCTCCGTAGTCGCGGACGATGACACGGCGGTGGACCCTATTGACAATCGCAGGTTTTTCTGGAGAGCTCGAGCGAAGGCGCTTGCTGGGCGGCAGTGGGGTGTTTATGGAGCTCGAAGGTCGCTTCCTTCCGGCCACGTTGCTGCTCCCGTCTCTCCGCGACGCCCGGCGTCCAGTGTTGTTTAGCAGCGGCATCTGCCTTTGTGGCATGTAGTTCGTTGCCTTCGTTATGTCCAGCCCTTTCCGTACGTTTGCACAGATGTCATCATCTTGATTGCCTACACGCACCGTCTGGTGGTGGAAGTACCTCGCGACGTTCACCACCCCCTTCTCTGTCGCTTCGTGTAGCATCTCACCCTCTTCGTCCCGCTCTGGATACTGCCATGAATCTTTGACAACAAGTGGCGTGTCTGGGTCTTCTTCTCGGGTAACTTTCCAGCAGGTCGTTGCCCGACCAGCGACGCAGGGCACCCTCTTTATAACCTTGTTAATGATAAGGCGCTCTTTCCCATTCTCACGTTCAATCTGGATATACCGCTTGTCTCCAATTGTGACGATAGTTGGGTCGAACCCCAGCTGCGCCTTGTTCATCCACAGCAACCCAAGCATTACAGACACAAACTGTAGTCCATCTTTGTTGACGTTGAACTGCTTAGAGGCGATGCCTCCAAGTCGGTCGAACACCCACAGCCGCATGAAGGGTCCGCAGAGAGTGAAGCCAAGAACAAAGCGGCGGCTATCTTGTGTAGCGAACACCTCCTGGGCGTATCGGCCCAGGTCAAGCCACGCCTTGGACGCTTTGTCGGCTGAGGGGTTGCTCTTCAGCTCTCCAGGTATAAGGATTTGCGACCAGCGGCATCTCGAGTCTACGCCAGCGTCCGGATCATCTACAAAACCGATATCTAGCTTGCGAGTGGCTGTAGAGCCTTGCAAGGGCTTATGGGGCTGTGCCAGCGGTCGCCGTGGACTTTGGGGTATTGCAAGGCGCTCATACGCAATGTGCTGAAACTGGTCTAGAAGTAGTGCAAACCAGTTCAAGACATCCTTCTCCTTCGCCCCTTCAGGCCAGCCCTGCCAGCCGCTCTCCACACGGTACAGTGGACTGTGTCCTTCCTTGCAGGTATCAAACACAACCTGTGCCGCTGTTCCTAGTTCTGGCACGTCTCCCAAGAACGCGTCGAAGAATCCAGGTATGCCAACATACAGGTGTCCTAACTCCTCTTTCAGTATGTTATCCACGTATTTACGGTGCTCGGACGAGTTCGCGAAGCTGCCTGTATTGATCGACAGCAGTGTTTGTTGGACGGACAAAGAAGGGGGCGGCGGCGGCGGCGTGGATTTGGTGACGGCTTCGTCTACTTTGGCCCAGATAACCTCATCGGACTGGTTGTTGATGATTGCATCGAGTAGAGGTCGTATCCGTTCGACGTCGAAATTATCAAAGCTGACCAGTGCATTGAGCTTCAAAAGGCCTTCAAAGAGGGTCCCGCTTCCGTTTCGGCACTGCAGAATTCGAGCGGCCGGGAGGGCTTGCAAAGCAGAGAGAAGACTGACTAACAAATTCTGGCTTTCTAGTACGTGTTGGAAGTGCAGTAGAAATGTTCAGCCTGTACTACATACCTTCATAGTCCACATGGTCAAGTGCTTGTGAGGAATTGGAAACACCGATGTCTTCGCATATCGATCTGAAATAATTGCGAAAGCCATCTAGTCCTTTACCTATCGGCTTAGACGGTATGATCAACGACTGCGATTGCGTAGGCATCCTCGGAGACATATCAGCTACCAATATCGTGCCAGACTGTTATTGTCGCAAACAGAATCACTCAGAGTGTTATGCGATTTGGAGAGGGTAAGAGAAACGAAAAGGTAATGAGATAAGATGTGCAATGTAAGTGGTGATGGAGAGACAAGATGACAAGGTAGAGACAAACACGCGTCGACGCGCAAACTAACTAGGCCGGCACGACGGCCACATGAAGCTTGGAAGGTGCCGTGTGGGCAGCAAACAACAATGACGTAAGCTAGTATAGATAGCAATCGATTTCCTGTCGGCTAGTCATCGTGTTGGAAGGTTGCTGCCTTAGTTGTTTGACAGTGGGTGGGTTGGTGCTGCTGCCGGCCTGGCGAGACAGTGATGGATAACCTACAGTCTTGAAGGTTTATGGGCAAGTGGTGGGGATCTCTCGGTGGGCGACGCTGTTGATGCGTGCTGCCGAAGTGTCTTGGAGATTTCCCGCTTGGTGATTCGCTTGATGATAAGTACTGCCGAACTGGAGATGTAGTTCACAAGAGCAGAAGAAGAGCAGGTATATGTAGGCAGTGTGCTGCTGCCTTGCGCTTTGTGTCCTCATCACAACCACGGTTCGACGATGTCAGAGTGTTCTCTGTTCGTTCTTGACCGCCCAATGGGCAGAACCCCATTGGCGAGTAAGTTCATGTTGCCGTTGTTCTGTAATTCTGAGTCTTAGGTAGGGCCCCTACCAACCTTTTGGCTTCAACATGTGAAGCCGGAGGCCAATGGGCAGAAGCCCATTAGAGAGCACGTCCATGGTTTCGTTGTTCTGTAATTCAAGGCCAAAGGGTCCCTACCAATCTTTTGGATTCGACACGTGAAACTGAAGGCCGGAGCCTTGGATCCTTAGAGCCCGAGGCTCTGGAGCCGGAGGTCTCGCGTTCAAAACACCACTTGGACAAAGTCGTCCCTTCTTTTTGACTTTTTGGATTTTGGTGGGCTGAGGGGCGGCCTGCCTTTATTTTGAGACACTTTTACTAGGACAATCGCCACAGGCGAGTCTGCAACTGCTGCTGTTGCTATTGCTGTTGGTGCGACAAAGTACAAAGTGGATGAGCAGATAGGGAGAAGATTTGGCTGGAGAGATTGCTTGTATATGGGTACGCAGGAAAACGGATCTGTAGTCTGGTGGTAAGTTATTAGGTAACTAATGCTTTGATCTCAATGTAGCATGTAGAGGTAAAGCCAGTTGGTCATATAACTGGGCTCCGAACCTCGTTATTCATATGCTGTTCTGATCCCACTCTAACGCTATGCCTGCCATCAGCCTCAGCTGGCTATATCACTTCATAAGCTCAACTATGTCTTAGAGCTATTCGTGTACATCCTGAGCAATATATTCCGGCCTCCAAGTCGTAGACATTAAGCCTTGGTCATGTTTTTGCAGGGTATGACGCTGCTGCGCTAAGGACGCGTCGCGCAAAAAATGATCGATAGCAAGGAGCATATATGTATTTTTTGTGTCGCATTGTACAATTCTCGAGAAACTATTTCAAAGAAAAACATACATTTAACTAAAAGAACAACACTCTATAGTTGATAAACTGAGCAGTCGAAAATGGAGATATTCCTGCGCGGCGGGATTTCCTGCTGACAGGGAGGATGTTAGCCCCCCAAGTGAATAGTCCTGAATACTGTCCCCCCTCCCTGGCCTCCCTGCACGACCATCGCGAGCGACAGAGTGGTCTTTATAGCAGTGAATGGGGCGTGGCTGAGTATCGTGATATCGCCACCCAAGGTAACGCGTCCTCTATACCACTCGTGATAACGTTGCAAGGAATCTCACCCTTTCCTGATGCAGGCTGCTGATACGACTGCAATCAATCCGACGGCCCGCTCGTCAAGGCAGCTAGCTGCGCCCGGCAACCCTGTTTCTATAACTCCACCAGCTCTCTTTCTGCGACCAGCTTGCTCCTCATTCCTTTGCAATCTGCCCTCGAATCTGGCTCGCGCGTCCTACTCGACCGCATATATCAGTCACTCTATTTTTAGTTCACATTATATTGTGTAGTTAAGCAGAGACTCTGACTCGAGAATGACAAAACGACTTACCATCTATCTAGCCCACAGAAACATGTCTGACCTGGCTCCCTGCCCCGGATGGAAAGAGCCGAATACAGCAGAACACGATCCAGTGGCTCCCATGTCCCCTGGCCAGGGCTTGCAGGAGACGATGTAGAGGCTTCTTTGCTCGAGGGCTTTGGAGCAAGATTTTAAGACATCTTTCAATTATACGCCATGATGCTGCTATTGATACTCCGAAAAACGCTGTTTGGCAAATCTATGTCGTGAAGAGTAGTCGGAAACAGGTAGTGGGCGGAATGCAGGATAGGCATGGTTACAATCGAGTGAGGGTTAGTCGTACGAATTCGAGCAACGTATCTTGTCTATGTTTGATTATGCACTTTTGCTTCATTTTCTTTTTGGTAGAACTTTTATTTTCGATCGTAGGGTGGTCCTGCTTCTTGGCGACCATAAGATAGGTAGCAGGGCGCCTTGGGATAGCAAAGGAAAAGGCACGGAATGAAAGGGTTTGCCTAGCGTACTATTGACCTCTATACGTCCTCAGTATTATGGAAGAAGTTGGCAAAGGCCGATACCTCGCTACGTAGATGCTAGGATGAATCGAGGCTACGGCCAATGCGTATGCCCTGCAAATACCCAATGAGTTTTTCGTTGGACATGGAACTGAAGGGAGAAAACTGGTAGCCCAGCCCACGGAAATCTTCACGATCCATGACCCTCCGGTTCTTCTTGCCCCACGGCGGCAACTTTTCCATCTGTATGTCTTGATTCCAAACCCTCACAGCCAAAGCTCCCGTAGAGAACAATCCTGCCGTGACCACGTATTCTGGAATGGTATCGCGCTCGAGATTGCTACGCGTTCGTACCATTCCGATAACGACGATTAGACCCGAGCCGCTTTTCTTCAGGCCCTGTATTCGACGACCAAGTTCCACCAAGTCCTCCTCGCTCATCGTGTATCTAAAGTTTGCCTGAGTCCCTGAGTTCCTGAGATGATCTTGAAATCGAGCACGCTGGTATCGGGGCCCGGCAGGTGGTCGCGGCGCAGAGCAGGGTTCTGAAAAGTCTTCCTCTTCATCACTGCTGATCACTATGGGTTCCTCTCCGCTTTGGTGACTGGCAGGCCGGGCTGAGTCTGGAGTTGGACATGTGTTCTGAAGGCGGCGATGCTCTTGTGATTCTGTCGACTGATGAGAGCAACTATCTGTAGCGATCGATCAGTCTCATATCTAATGAACTTGCCACAAATCCAAGAGTCGGTATTTACCTTGCAATGGTGAAGAGGCGTGTAATCCGCCCCTCGTCTGTTGATGCGGTTTCCAGGCGCCAATCTCGTTATAAATGCTCCAAGTACTTCGCCAACCATCACGAGCGCGTTCGTTTAGCTCTTTAAGCGCAGCGTTTTGTTTGCGTGGCTCCAGTGACGAGAGGTAGTCGACGAGTCCGTTTAGTGTGGCCAAGTGCGTGCTCTCTAAGCAAACGATCTGGGTGTATCATCATCTGGGCTTTCTTCGCGAACTTCTTCAAGTCATCGATATTGCAGACGTGTACGACGTGTGGGTTGAGGCCAAGATTCCTATAGACGTCATAATCTTTGAAGCCTGGACCGACGAATTTAGTAGATAGGCCAACTATCGTGGTGGATACACGGCGATCGAGCAGGTGTGCAGGTAAGCAGTCGCGGAGTGATGGCGCAAGCGCGCATGATAGTAGTTTTGATTACTAGAGCAACTTTTGCCCTCACTACATAGTGATGCTGCAATGACTCGCTCTCGTCCATGATTTTATACAACGCTAGGTATCTCACTATCACCATGTCTCTTCCTGAGTGAGGGGTAACCAGAATCATGAAGAGGAGGAGGAGGACGCGTTGTCGATTTTGGGGCAGAGTAGAGCTAACCGACGATACAGCACTAGTTCGCATGATAGATGAGAGCAAAAACCCCGCTATTTTCGTTGGTGAACGCCATTATCTCGTCGCCTGATTGGCCAGGCCGCTCCCAAAAACAGTAACATCGCGCTTTCACCTCCAGGGTTCAGCTGCGCAGGCATATCTTGTAGCTGCAATAGCTTTCACCCACGTAATCCCTCGGATCAACCACTCGACTGTTCAACTGGTACTTCTACTTTCCAGCCACTTTCCTCGCTCGTGCCTAACACGATGGCAAGTAACGTATCCTTTCTTTTCACCCGTTATTGCTAACCAATCGCAAAGGCTCCACGCAAGAGTTCGTCTTCCTCTACCGGCCGTAATGGCGACAAACAAATCTCATCCCACTGCAGCAAGCATCGCATCAACAAGCTGAACAATCGCATAACAGCTATTCGAGACTACGGCAACGCCATGGCTGAACTGGAGAAGGCGAAAGCTGAGGTTGAAGCTGCCAAGCTACGACTTGAAGTTGCAGAACTCGAGCTCCAGACTGTAGACAGCAACGCTAAAGACGAGCGGGAATACAAACACCAGTCGGAGCAGGCGATGAAGCAAGAGGTAAATCAGGAGGACGAGGACGATGGCAGTCGAGAGCATTGGGAAGACGATTATATCGAGGAAGTGTAACGGCTGGGAGGAGTACGGGGTCTGTGTATTAGCGTACCTAGGAACCGGTCGACTGCTACCTCTCGTATCACAAAATTTTGCATCAACATTGAAGCCTGTCCATTTGTGTTCTTTCTGCATCCTAAAGTGATGTGCGTGTAGTGTCTAATGGGCTTGTGTTCAGATTCACGCCGTGTACTTGGAAAGAGTTCGCTTTCGCCAAATAGCCACAGTAGGAGATTGAAAGGGACAACATGGTCTAGAAACAATAATTAATTAAACCTTGGGGGTAGAATACACTGGCTTCTCACACGATTGGTTGTAAGCCTATCACGCTTCCATTTCAAACACGCTTCTGACATCCTAAAAGAGCCATGAACGACGGAATGACGTTCAGGAAAATCGTCAACGGGACCGATCCATTTGATAGGTCATTGGGATACAGTCCCAACCACCAAGCCAAAAACCCAAACCAGGCGAGAACTGATATGATATAGTAGATTAAAACCATCGGCAGGGAAAGTTCATATGCCGCTTGGATGGCATATGCAGGATCCTGTGGCACCGCTTTAGTATCCAGTCGCGATGTCTTCCTTGGGATTCGCTTCCTTTTGTGGGTAGCTTCATGGGGACAAGAGCATCGGTGTCGGAACAAGGGCAGCGTAGACCAGATGCAATAGCTACCACACGGGCGGAGGTATTGCCGAAATTCATCCCTCCCAATTGGTGGTCTCTTATCAACGGGATCTCGGGGAAGGTATTGAGCCTGGAATTGATGGTCTTCTGGGAGGTGCTCGCTACTGTAGTCTGTTGTCTCGCTTTCGCTGCACAGCAATAACATTTATGTGGATGGTTTTCAATCATGCCCTACATTCGAAATAAGGGTGTTGGACTTTCAGCTAAAGGCGATTGCGCAAGGGCAACTCTGCTTCAGCCCAAAAAGAAGTTTCGACAAAGCAGTTTCTGTACACCCCTAGCTATACTAACGTTATCGATCTTACCAACGACAACGATGACTGTGTCGATGACAGTCAGGCCGGGTCCGATAAAGTTGGCAGGGGCGAGGCGGCGGGCAGCCTCCAAGAGCGGTCGAACACGGAGGAGGTGATTGATAGCGGTATGGAGACTTAAGAGGAGCCAAGTAGGTCTAAGGAGGAGGAGGAGGAGGAAGAGGAGAAGGGTGATAGTAAAGAATCTGACGCCCAGGTGATCACTGCGGCAGCAAAATACGTGCTCTTTCGCAAAGACACAAGTCGCAGCAAGGCAACTCGCAGCAAAAATGGATATTAATAACTGGAAAGGAGAAGCGGAAGTGTGGTTGTTTCGTGTCAGCGAAGTGCGAGTTCTAGATGACGGGCCATGATTCCGCATACCGCCTATAGTACGGCTCTGCCCACACTATTATGTACACGTAGAGATTCAAACGTGAGGCCTGAAGCTTGGGGCCATCAAGTGCAGGGAGTCCAGGTCCCCATCCCGAATCTAGAAAGTTGTATTGATCCCAATCAGAAAAATAACACCTTCCCAAATGGCCTTCTACTCATGAGACGACCAATAACGGGTAGAGAAAAACCTGAAGTCGCTGAATCGTAGTCTCGTGACAACGACCCCCACGTTCAAGAATTGCAGACAAGGTGTTATTCTCGACTGATTTTCCATATACTCCGCTACCCGTTAGCCACTTACGTCCTTTTGGCTTCGTTTATCGATAATTATTACCGAGTAGCTACTTGTCACTTGCATACCACCTTTCTCTCACCGCTCATCGACCCGCAATAACTGTAATTGCTACAGTATTCGAACCTGCGCTGCAAGCACTTCTCAGACTCCATTTACGCTATTTCCCAAGAGCGCTACCCAGTCCCCAAAGTGAGCAGGGAAATTCTCAGCAAAAATTGTCTTCTTGACACCTTAATGCATCGCTATACGCGTCCGTTCGCGTTCGACCTGTCTCACCTGGCCGACAGAAGCCGGCAGGACAGCGACCGGAGTTCGATGACATCTTCTTCAGAGGGCGCAAGCCTGTAGCGCTTCAACATTCCACCTTCAAGCGCGCGCATTAGTATATGCGCCCCATGCCTGCAGCTTTTTACACTTTGCTGTCCGTCATGCTGGTCTAGTTATCTCACCTTTTGCTTTCGCTGCAAATGCACTAACGCAATCTCTAGCTACAACTCAACGCTGTTCATCGCGCGTCTCAAGCCTTCTATCTGCAAGAGAGTGGTTGGCATTGCACCAGGAAACATGCAGTAATCGCCAAAGGACACACTCTTGACCAGATCTATTTGGACTACAGCGCCCATAGCCAGTACCGATAAGGAGCGTGGGCATCGCTGCCATAGAGGCAATGACCGTCACAGGCTTCTATACATGAATGCTGCTGCTTGCACAGATGGCAGGGGATCAGGGTTTTACGAGCACGCTGGCATAGCTTACTCAAGCGTGCGCCTCGATACTACTTCCATTACCGATCCTGATTCGCGCTTGCCTCTGCTAGTCACAACAGTCGCTATAGGCAAAATCTGGCCAAGAGAACTTAGCAAGATTAGGTGAACCGTCTTTCTCTATTAACGAATGTTGCTGCGAGTCAACCGCACACTTTGGCGGTTGCAGCCTAGATGAGGTGTAAGTTATGAGCCCTCACCCTCATTGTTCACTATACCAACATCAGCGCTGGCGACCAATAATCATTTGTGACTATTGCGCAGGCATTTTCACCTTTTATTATTACGTTACAATGAAGTGTGAAAGGATATGGCAGTAAACCGCAGACTATATTACAATTTGCTACTACCTCTAGTTATTCAGCACGATAGCGACCGCGACCACAGCCATGTCATTGCAAAACTCCACAGCAAGCCCCTTCTACAAGCTTTCTCTTGACCATCTTTTGATGGTATACGAAGGCCTTTCCACCCCAGACTTGTACCATCTTGTCCAGACCAGTCGCAGCAATATGAAGGCTCTCCAAGCGCTGTACAAGGACATTGAACTCTCATCGCCTAGTTCTGCTGCGGCCCTCAATCTGCTTCAAAGCATGACCGACCCGGAGAAAACTTACCGTACGACAAATTTGAGAAGCATTCGGATCGAAGGAGTCAGTCCCCAAGACAAGTCTCCGCTACCTACAGGTCGCAATGGCAGTAGCATTGTGGATGATATATTGGAGAAGTGTCTACCGGAAGGTCTGCTGACTGGAATCACCAAGAATGCGCAACCTAAGATAGATGAGGCATACAGGAAATGTCGTGCTAGTCTTCATGCCTCAGAAAGGATTGGTCCATCCTCGCTCGCACTTGCAATCAGCATCGCGGAGAAGATCAAGTCCATTGAGTGGTTGATGGTTGGCGCAAGCCTCGAATGCACGCCATTAGAACTCACCAGGCTCATCATATCTGCGAAGGTCGCGTGTTGTCGCCCAGTCTTCCCCGAGCTTCTCAACTTGGTATGGCGCGTCGAGAGTCATAACACATGTTTGCCAATAGTACCGCTGGTCCCAAGCTTGCAGCGCTTAGTCCTTTATGGCGTGGATTATCCAGATGTCAGCTTTGATCTTGCAGCTATGGTCAATGGCACCAAAAGTCAGCTTGTCGAGGTTGCATTGCTGGGGATGAACATGGTGGCAGCGCTGGAGGGGCTGGTATCCTTGGGCCATTTGCACCGCCTCCGTATCCTCCGAATGCGCGATTTTTCACGGGGTGACTTGCAAGACTATGGAAGGCTCTTTAGGGGTCTTCGCCAGAGCTCTCCACAGCTCCAGGTAGTTGACCTCGATTTCGACTACATGGATCTGCAAGACAGAACCCAACCGACTATTCCGCAGTCGTTACAGCCCGAACTCGAGCATTTTACGAGCATAAAGTACGCCAGAATTCATATCCAGTTACTATGGTCGAGTCCATTCAATGTCGACTTGCCGAGAATGTACAGTGCGCTTCCACCAAACCTCCAGTATCTGATGCTGGTGGGGTTAGATCTGGACAGCATTGTTCAGCTTGACGAAGACGGCGATGAGGAGATTGAAGAAGACGAAACGGACAATCTCGACCCATTCTCCTTACGCAGTTTGTGTGCTATCTTGCCACACCTGAAGTACGTCGCATTCAGGTTCGACTTCAATGCGCACACTATAGGTGATATCAGCGAAAAGCTGCAACTTGCCGATCAGACGTTGAGAAGTTTGATCGTAAGGGCCAAGGAACTGAGGATGAGGATGGGCATCTATGTATGTTGTTTGGAAGATGATGACATTGGCGATATCTTCTACATGGGTAGTGAAGTCCCAACTATGCTAGAGAAGCAGTGACTCTTACCCAGAGGTACCACGGAAGCTGCGGGATGGTTTGCATGTCGCTACACAGGAACTACACAGTCATAGGCAGATAGATGAGCCAGATAAGGAATCCGGATCTCCACGTCGCATGCACGTCTCATCATCTCTCACTGTTTTTAGAAGCACTCTTCTTGGAGCTGATTTAATAGCAAGCCCTGAGGCTATACATTCTCCAGCAGAGACCCGCGAGGACCCCTTTCATGCTGTCGAGAGCAGGCGTGATACAGACCCACTCGCATCAATAGCCCTGGTACCGCTAGCGGGAACAGCTGTGAGCTCGCATACCGAGACAGCGTCTGAGAGCGTAGGCTACTCTTCTAGACGCAGCGGACACAGCAGACACAACGTTAGTTAACAGTAGCGCCAGCTACCCAAGCAGAGTCAATCATGTATTCGCAGCTAGGCTATAGCGACTGCCAACGACCAAACCGCCATGTGCAACTACAACGCAATAGCCATGTCTACCATTTGCGGCACAGCTCTGCCCATCCAATACACACAGGCCTTTGATCCCGGCAACGCCAGGTGCGGCGAAGCGCCCATGCAACGCTAGGCGTAAACGAGCACTGCGTAGAGCAGCTCTACCACAGATTGATACCAAGCACAGTTGGCCGCTGTGCGCATAGCCATATAGTTCCTTACCATGCCCCAGTTCCCTACCATGCCCCAACGTGCTATGGCTCTAACGTCTGAACACTTGCGAGAAACCCGGTTGCAGCGAGACACATGTGTCAGGGCGTCCTGGGCAACGGACAGGCTAGTATGTACGAACCGCAAACGCTATGGTACATAGTATGAACTCCATTAGCTAGAGCCGAGCCTGTTACGCCAGTCACAACAGGCCAAGTATCTTGGTCGGGATTGTGGCGAAATGCCTCAACCACCTCACTATAAGTCAGCGTTTTTTCAGAGCCAGCAGCGTGTAGCTCGTCAATGACTATCTAAGCTGCGTACGCGAGGTCGCATATCCTCCAGACTTACTTGCCACGGTCAGTGTGTAGGCGCCGGGCTTGGGCAGGGCCAAGGCCGTCAGCCCAGCCGCTCCTCTTCGTGAACCACATTGCGATTTCATCTTTCATTTTGGCACGCAGTGGTTTCTAGTTCTCTTCGTTGGTCTGTTTAGACAACTGGTTCTCTAAGCGGATGTAATTCTTGCTTCGCTTCCACGTGCATGTAATGTGCTTTCACCATGACTGGTTGGTGGACACAATGACATACCGGGTACTAGTCGGTGCAGGATGGGTTTTTGTAGCCCCCGCGAACTTTGGCCAGGTAAAGGGTCCCGCAAAGCGGAGGTCGTCTTCCTGGTTAGGAACTCTTCGTGTGGTGAGGCGGCTGTATCGGCGCGCGCGACCGGGTCCAGTCTGGTTGTGGTAATATCTCTGCCCACTCGTTTGCGCTCATGGAAGAGTAGATGCCTTTCTCTTCTCCGCCAAATTCTTGTGCATAACTTGCATAACTTGCGCCGTCGCTATGCATTATAATGAGCTTAGGACGCCACTCTTTTGTGAATCCCCGCATCCCCGGGCTGTGTCCAAACATTTTCGCCTACTATGCTTGTGGCCAAACTTTCAAACCTTGCGGGCTCGCGGAGATGAACGTGGCTCCAACGCGGGGCGGGACACCATTGACGGCCCCGCTTGACATGGGCGGGAACTCGAGGTTGGGGATACCGCTGTGTATCTGAGCTACTGCCAGCATGTTCATCCAGAATGTTGCTAAGACCGTGTGGGTTTCTCCAGATCCCATTTCGTCGGCCAAGATACCGCCGCGCTTGGGTCTAAATGCATCGATATACAGCTCGGTAACCGCCACTATTTGATGGGCGAATGCCGTGTATCCCGGCGACATGAGTATGCTGGACGTTAGGGCAACGCGTGGCTCCTCTTCTCTGGTTCGTAGAGCTGTCAGGGTCATATGGAATGTGGACGCTGCGCGCTTGAAGATGTCCAGGCTCATCCGGGCGGCGTACTTCTTTGCCATGAGCGCATTCTTTGATGAGAAGGTGTACCGTAAGGCCTCTTCCTCGGCTCTAGCCTCTGCGTCCTCGTCCTCGCTGATGTATGCCTCCTCATGTGCCTCGTCGTCCGTATCCGATTTTTTCGGCTGCGTCCTCACCTGCCCGCGGGCTCGGGGCTGCGTTCGCTTCGAGATCTGGTTGGCCAATAGAGTTCAATCTATCAGTAGCATGAGTCGACTTGTGCTCCTCTAGGCTAGGCGAGAGGGATGCGCTAGACTCGTCATCGCTGCTGATGGAGATGATATCGCGCTTCTAGTGGCACGGGCTGCTCGATTCTGAGCCTAGACTGGCTCTCAACTTATTGTTAATTCTCTTTTATTACATGTATGTAGGCACGGTATATCACACATCACACACCAACGTCAAGTTTTCTAGAATAGGTGTAATTTTCGTTAAATATATACAAATCCCTTACAAGAAACTAATTATAGCAAGTTTTAAGACGTGCAGCGTGCGCGCTGTGGAGCTATAAGCTATAAGAGCAGATAGTTGAGACACGTCTTACACTCAAAACAAAAACACATACCGCTAAGAAGAAGAGAAAA